TGCACTTTACCTACTCTCCCTGCCACCCCTCACCAGATGGGCAAGGGCTCCATCAAGTACGCCTGCGTGCTGGACAAGCTGAAGGCAGAGAGAGAGCGTGGCATCACCATCAATATCTCCCTGTGGAAGTTTGAGACCAGCAAATACTACATCACCATCATTGACACTCCAGGCCACAGGGACTGCATCAAGAACATGATCACAGGCACTTCCCAGGTACTGAAGTCAATGCCTCTATGGGCCTCTGGATGGAGGTGGGAAGCTCAGGCTTTAATTTCCAAGCCCTTGGGAAGGGTGGTATCATAAGTTCAGGAAGGTTGCCCTCACCCATGCCAGTCATCAGTTCCATCACTCAAATACCATGTTCATCTGGGGCTGGGGTAAGACCACATCTTCCTCCGATGCTCATCAAGTAGATCAATTAGGTTGGTATGAAGGAGGAAAAAGCTCATTTATAGGGCTAAATGAGGGTTTACTTCATGGCAGCAGGACCCCTTTGCACAGCAGCCAGGCTCCACGAATGCTCTCTTGTGCATTTGTACGTTTCTCAGTAGTGTTCCTCAGCTTCTCAAAGGGATCTGGGACCTCCCAAAACTCTAGCCAGCTTCCCACCTGCCAAGTACCCCCTCACCAAACATCTCTGTTCCCGCGGCCGCGTCTCTGCAGGCTGACTGCGCTGTGCTCATCGTGGCCAGTGGCGTGGGCAAGTTCGAGGCTGCCATCTCCAAAAACGCGCAGACCCGCGAGCACGCGCTCCTAGCCTACACGCTGGGTGTGAAGCAGCTCATCGTGGCGGCCGACAAGATGGATTCCACTGAGCCTGCCTACAGTGCCGGGCACTTCCAGGAGATCACTAAGGAAGTGAGCGCCTACATTAAGAAGATTTGCTACAACCCGGCCGCCGTGGCCTTCGTGCCTATCTGCGGCTGGCACGGGGACAACATGCTGGAGCCCAGCACAAACGTGAGTGGTTCGGGTGGGACTCAGATGGCCCTGGGTGGGGGTTGCTGGGAACCACGGCCCCAGACTCACCTCCACTCCAACCCTCCCTGCAGATGCCCTGGTTCAAGGGCTGGAAGGTCGAGAGGAAGGAGGGGAATGCCACCGGAGTGACACTGCTAGAAGCTCTGGATTCCATCCTCCCACCCACTCGCCCAGTCAACAAGCCCCTCAGGTTGCCTCTGCAAGATGTGTACAAGATTGGAGGTGAGTGAGGGGCTGGATGGGGTGGAGGATAGCCTGCTCATTTAGGAATTACAAGCTCTGCAGTCTGACTTTGACTCATAGTGACAGGCAGAACTGCCCCATAGCGTTTTCTAGACTGTAATCAGGAGCCCTGGTGCCATAGTGGTTTAAGTGCTGGCTGCTAACCAAAAGGTGGCATTTGGAACCCACCAGCTGCTCCGTGGGAGGAACATGTGGCAGTCTGCTTCTGCAAAGATTTACAGCTTTGGAAACCCTATGGGGAAGTTCTACTCTGTCCTGTAGTGTTGCTGTGAGTAGACATTCACTCAGAGTCAATGGGTGTGGTTGGAATCTTTTCCAGAGCTACTGGGTAGGTTTGAACCACCAACCTTTAAGTAGCCACCAGGCCTCTTCTGGGGTCTGACTGCCTTGGTTCAAATCCTGATTCCACTGCTTCTCTGAGCTACTATGAAGTGTAGAACTCAGGATTTTGAACTTGTCCAGTACCTTAGAGAGCTAGTAGATCCATCCATGTGTTTTCTACCAGTTTGGTAGCTGCCCCTTTGTCCTTAAACCCAGAGGCCGGGTACCTCCTAGGAGCCAGCTTCCAGTCAGAACAAAAGGACAAAAGGCTTGGCATCCCTCTTGAAGCCCATATGATTTGAGTCTGGGGTAACTCTGACTTCCTTTCTCCCACCGGACAGGTATTGGTACTGTGCCTGTGGGTCGTGTGGAGACCAGCTTCCTGAAACCCGGGATGGTGGTCACCTTTGCCCCCACCAACGTCACCACAGAGGTCAAGTCTGTGGAGATGCACCATGAGGCCCTGGCTGAGGCCCTGCCTGGTGACAACGTGGGCTTCAATGTGAAGAACGTGTCTGTGAAAGACATAAGGCGCGGAAACGTGGCTGGAGACAGCAAGAATGACCCCTCCATGGAGGTTGGCAGCTTTGTGGCACAAGTAAGGCTCCAGGAAGCCAAGGGCTTCTGGGATGGTGGCGATGGGGCTCCTTCTTAGGAATTAATTCTAATTTAGATTGAGGCCCCAGGTCTGTGAAGATTTTGCCCCAGATCACAGGGCTTGCTGCCATCAGTCTTGTGACTCATCTAACTCCATCCTGCTCTCCTGCCAGGTGATTGCCCTGAACCACCCTGGTCAGATCCATGCTGGCTATTCCCCAGTGCTGAACTGCCATACAGCCCACGTCGCCTGCAAGTTTGTTGAACTGAGAGAAAAGATTGACCGGCGCTCAAGCAAGAAGCTGGAGGACAACCCCAAGGCCCTGAAGTCAGGCGATGCAGCCATTGTGCAGATGGTCCCCAACAAGGCCATGTGTGTGGAGACCTTCTCCGAGTACCCTCCTCTAGGTGAGCCACGGATTGCTACTCAGTCATGGGAAGAAAGCACAATCTTCATTCTGTAACAGGGGCCCAGGCTAAAGGGCCTTTCCTTCTAGGTTACTATCCAGAAATCTCATTCTTGACCCTCTCTTGCAGGCCGCTTTGCAGTCCATGACATGAGACAAACAGTGGCAGTTGGAGTCATCAAGGCAGTGGATAAGAAATCCTCCACTGCTGGCGAGGTCACCAAGTCAGCTGTGAAGGCCAGCAGGAAATGAAGCCTGCCCCTGCAGTCTCAGCTCCTCCCCCCTGCAAAAATATTTACCTTTCTTTGTATTTACTGAATTAAACTACTAAAACTTAACTAGCTGTCCTGATTTCTTCCAAGGAGAAAAGTATTAGGTAATTTAGGAATATCTAGGAAGAAAAATTAACTATAATTTAAAACCTGTTGACATCAAAGCATTGGTTCCCTGGATGTAATTTAGGTAGAGAAACCTAAATTACATCAGTCTCATACCTTAGTCTCATTCAGCCATTTCTTCATTTCACTCCAAAACCTGCTTTTCTGGCCTGCCCTTTGAATCAGGAAGTTGAATTGTTCTGGGATATGAAAAGCATACTCATGGAGACATGAGGGAGGATGTCTGTGGTAGTCACAACTGAATAGTGTGTATGATTCTCCTGGTGCTAGGTGTTATGCTAAGACAGTAAATGCCAAAGACCAACTAATAAAAGAGTGGAGATTCTAAGCAGATCATTTGGAAGCTTGGGCTCAGAATTAAGCTTCTTCCCAACATGATAGCCTACTTGCTTACTGGTTGCTGTTTGCCTACTTACCCGTTGCTGTCAAGTTGATTCCAACTCATAGCAACCCTATAGGGCAGAGTAGAACTGCCTCATAAGGTTTCCAAAGAACAGCTGGTCTACTTGAACTGCAGCCCTGTTGGTTAGCAGCCAAAACTCCTTAACTACTGTGCCACCAGGGCTCCACGTGGTAGCCTAAGTTAGGTCAATTTGCCTGGAGAGTGAGGAATAAATGGGTGGCCATCTGTAGCCTTTGTTCCCTTGTTTGTTTGTTTTTCCATTAATGGTGTAACAGGATGATAACTCCTCATGGAGCTTACATTCTATGCTCATTCAGCATGTACTGGGAGTCAGGACACCAGGGTCTGCCCGCAGTGTGGTCTTCATTCATCCATCAAATATTGAGCACCTCCCATGTGCCAGATGCTGGTCTTACCCCATGGACTCATCTAGTGGGTGGAGACACAAGGTAAATATTAGGTGGAGATAAAGTACATGAAGAAAGTGAGCAAGAAGGAGGATGGAAGAAGAGGTGAGGAGTAGATCATGAAGGATGCAAAGCATGGAGACCAGTTAGAGACTACTGCAATAATCTGGGCAAGATTTCAATTTGAACTAGTGTGGTAGTCTGGAGTTAGGTGGTGAGAAATGGCGCTGAATATATTTTGTAAGCAGAGCTGGGAGAATTTTCTAATGGATTAGATGTTGGGTATGGGGAAGGAGAGTCAAGAATGATAAAACAGGTTTTTGGCCTGAGGAATTAAAGAACAGAGCAGCCATTTTCTGGATGAGAGCCGTGCAGGTGGATTACCTACTAACAGAAATGCTGAGGCATTTAGAAATGGCCTTGAGTTTAGAGGGCAATCTAGGATGAGTTAATTAAGGGAGTAATTCAAACATGGGAGGAGAGTTTCTTGCTCATAAGCACCTGCTAGGAGATGCTCGGATACGCATGCAGACCCTGCCCTCCTGGAAGGAGAAATTAATCAACTGCACAACAATTGTGATCAATTCTCTATTGAAAAAACCATTAAGCTTCAAACACTGAGAATGCTGACTGTTAAAATGCGTCAGACTGTTGGAGCCTTTTCTGGAGCCAAATTTGGGAATGCCATCTCTATTCCTGCCCATTCCTGAGATTTTGCGGCCCCAGGTTTTGACGAGGAGTGCAATGGCCTATTTTTCTCACTGATCAATAACATTATCCGTTCCTGCCTGTCACATCGGCTCCCTCTCAAGTGCAAGTCTCCTGGGAAACACAAGACCCAACACAAACCTGTAAATAATAGCAGGAGGTCATATCAGAGCTGTCACCATGCCAGGTATCAAGAACTCACCTGTCTTCAGTGCTGGGTAACCTGGAAAATTTCAGCTGTTGTCAGCATGAATCAGTGCCTAGTGGGCCTGGAACAAGCTTTGGAGCCTGTCAGTGTCTTCAGAGGCCACCCAGCTTGGGTAGGGGAAGCAGAATAGGTTCAGGACCTGTGGTCAGGATAGAATGCAGATTGCTGGCCTGTTGTATTCCCCCCTCCTTCCTGGGACCTGTGAAAAATGGCTAGTCATTTTTGTCTTCAGAACACTTTATGTAGAATTCTATAAATTGTAACTACAGCTTTGCTTCAAATGATTGGAAAACTAAACATCTAACCTAGCATGTAACCTGGATCCCTATAATGTACTCAGTAGACATTTGTTGAAAAGTGAATGAAAGAGTATCAACAAATATTTGTTGAAATAAGTGAATGACTGTTTGGCTGCCAATTTCCTCTTCATTCTCAAGAATAATCATGGTTTTGGTTCTTGTTCCTTAAGAATGCCTTAAAAAAATTCCGTTGGAAAATAAAAAATATCAGGGTTAAATTTCTAAGTGCCACATCCTTTGCTCTAGAATTTCTCACTTGGGTAGGAGCTCAGAAACATTTGTTGGAACAAATGAAACAGAAAATGTTGCTGGTAAATGGGGTCAGGGGGTCCTCATCCCATTAGAAACTCCAAGAGCATTTCCGTTCAACACTGCAAAGAAAATCCCCAGCATTATCCAAAATTTCACACCAAAATGTGACTATAAAAGGTCTTGCATGGAAGGCCTCTGGCCTTTTCTCCAAGAAGTAAGATTTTACACTCATGTTCTCTTAGGCCACGGGGCCGGTACCTACTGGCGCCTCATATACCTGTTGCCATCAGATTCCAACTCATGGAGATCCTATGTGTTACAAAGCATAACTGCTATATAGAGTTTTCTTGGCTATAATCTTTACAGAAGCAGATTGCCAGGACTTTCTTACATAATGCTGCTGGGTTCGAATAGCCAATCTTTAGGTTAGTAGTCAAGTGCCCCACCCAGGGACCTTGGCCCAGGGCCTCCTTATTTTGTCCTTAGCATACTGTTGCAAATAGATCTAAGCTCACTTTTGTCATTCACAGTTATTAGGCCCTTTGTTGGCAGATATTAGAGGACCCCACTTGTTAGATCTTCACTCCTGCTACTAGTTGGTACAATGAAGCAAGTCTCATACTGAATTCTCCTACACATATGTCTATTCACAGGTACAAGACAGTCATATGTCTGTTGTGTAGTCTGAAGTCTCAGCAACCTGTCCTTTCAGACTCTGAAAAGCACTTTGCATGCAGTCACTGGGGACAGATGTGACAGTATTCTGGCAGTAGATTTCATCTAGCCTTCTAATGGGGAATGGAATTCTCTGAAAATGACAGAACACAGGATGGCGTCGTTAGGCCCTAGCTGCCACTTTAGAGTGTAGAGGTTGCTGGATTTGCCTGTTCGTTCAAGAAGTTGCCTGTATGATATTTCTAGTCAACGCACATGTCTTGAATTCCACTTACTCACCAATGAAAAGTTTTTTCTAATATCCATTATGACAAACAGCAAATCTCTGGTATTGACCGGAGATAAATAAGGTTGAGGCTTGTACAAGGCTTGTACTAATAGCCTCTGAAGTGTGGGCATCTAATTCCTCTACCATATGCTAAACAACCATCTCTATATGCTAAATAACCACCCCTATATGCTAAATAACCACCTCTAGAATGTGCATGGCACCCTGGTGGCACAGTAGTTAAAAACTCAGCTGCTAACCAAAAGGTCAGCAGTTCGAATCCACCAGCTACTCATTGGAAACCCTATGGGGTAGTTCTACTCTGTCTTACAGGGTCGCTATGAGTTGGAATCGACTCAAGGGCAACTAGTTTGTTTTGTTTTGTTTTGTTTTTTTTTGGATTTTAGAGTGTGCATAGAGTCCCTGGGTGCTACAAAAGGTTAAAGTACTGGGCTGTTAACCAAAAGGTTGGAGGTCAGAGTCCACCCAGAGGAGCCTCGGAAGAAACGTTTGGTGATCTGCTTCTGAAAAGTCAGCCATTGGAAGCCCTATGGAGCACAATTCTACTTGGACACACATGGGGTCATCATGAGTTGGAATCGATTCAACAGCAACTGAAAAAAAAAAAGAAAGAGTATGTATTCTCAGTTAGGGTACTTCAGATGTTAAACAATCACCCCTACGGTGTAGAATAAAGCTGACACACAGGCCATGTATCATTGGGAAGCACTCTACGCGAAGTCCTTGGATCCGTTCTTTTCTGAGAAGTCATGTTTTTTTCCTACCTAGCCTCTCCACTTTTCAGAAGCCCAGATTTGCTTTCTCTCCAGCCATGGATCAATCCTAGTGAAGCTTCGCTGCTCTCACCCTCTCAGGCGAAAGCCTGCTGCATCCCGCAGGTGCCTCTGTTCCCAGCAGTCCCTGGCAGTAAAGCTGATCCTAGCATCTCAGACTCAAGGAACGAGCACCCTGTTTCCCTTCTGTCTCTTGTCACAAGTTTAAAACCTCACAGCTTGTATAATGTAACTATTTGGGGATCTGCTTTTAACTTGGACTAGTGTAACTCCTTCATGCAATAAACTAAAAAGAGCCATGCTATCTAGTCTTGAAGTCCCTCATTTAAACAGAGGTCAAGTAGTAGACACCTGGCAGTGCCCAGCCTGAAACAAAGCAATAACGTGATTCAGCCAAGCTCAGAGCCCCAAGATCACAGATGGCTATGTCTGGCCAGAACCTCCCCTGTCCTAAGAGAATGTCACCCACCTCCTGAACAGCCCTTGGTGGAGCTAAGAGGAGAGGATAGGGTAAGCCAACTGTACCACTAGAGGGAGCCTTTGGTAGCAAAAGAAAGATCCTTTGGTGTCTCCAATCTGACAAGGTGGGCAGAGCTTAGGAGAGGGCCACTTCCCTCTAGTAAGGTGATAGAACATCTGGCTTGCCACCAAGGTCTTTGCTCTTTTTTATTTTTTATTGTACTTCAGGTGAAGGCTTACAGAACAAACAGTTTCTCATGAAACAGAAGTACACATGTTGTTTTATGACATTGGTTAACAACCCCACAACATATCAACCCTCTA